GAAGGCTAATATGTGTAAATTAAGTCTTCATACTTACAAGTAATATTTTTCTCGTACTGTGAAAGACTGATATTGATAGTACATGCAATAGGTGTATCGATAGAATCTATGCTAGAATTTCAGCTTGCCATAAATAAGAAATACAAATATCATCGAAACTAAAATATTTTCTTAATTTCTTTTGAAATCAATATGGATAGAAAATATAATGCGTTGATTCGATCAATCATGCACTATGAATACTTTTTACTTTTTTTGCATTATCAATTTTGGATTTTTGTTAGTTGTTTATGCCATGATGAATAAATAAAAATTGTACGATGTCGTTTTCTCTTATGTTACTAACATAGAGAAATAATAAAGACATACGAATGATTTTTATGAAAAACAAAATAAATCTGAAATTGATTTCATGAATTGATTGGTAACTGTTGCTGTTCTTTCTTAATCAAAATTTAATTTTTTTTACAAATACTTTGAAAAAATACTTCAAACAATTGTCCGAATTGAACGATCAAACTCGAAAGCAATACTATATGAAAATAGCCCATTTTTATCGGTTTCCGATAACTTAAGAAAAACTAATTCGTTGGAGTTGAAACTTTTAAAAATGTAATAAGTGTTATGAGATTTGGAAATATGAGCTCAATCAAAGGGTGTCAGTTATATATGTTTCCATATAAAACTATTAGTCAAACATTTAAAAAAAATATTTCAAAAAGTAACTGAAAATTGTTTTAATTAATTTTAACGTCACATATATTTTTGTAATGACACTATGTGAAAAGCTGATATTATAGCATAGAATATATATACAGTAGATATCTGATACATGTACAGTGAATATTCTTCTTCTTCATTAGTAAAGTAAAATATATAGAAAAGAATATTTCTTGTGGTCATCAAAATATATGTTATACTACAGATGTGTACACTAAACCCTCTTCGTACCCTGTACACTGACTAACAAGAGAACTGTTACTCGCCTTTTGCTCAATTTGCAATACAATTTTAGGTATTTATTGCAAAATCAAATAACAGAATTTTGATCGGCAATTTCGCCCACAGATAGATCTAATAAATCAATGAATATCCTGAAAGTTTTAGCTGAAACATTCAGAATATTCTAAGGATCATTAAATGTAAGTGTCGGCTAAATTTAGGAAGGTCATTATAAGCTTCGAATAGACTTTATACTCTTTCTGTACAATTTACGATAAGCTTTTTTATCAAGAAATTTCGGTAATCATCGGACTACTTTCTTCAGTGTAGTACTTACAACAATAACGACAAACAAGCACCACTAAACATAGTTCTTTTTCTTTTCTTTCTAATACTGGTACCGAAAAAGAAGATGACAAATATTTGTCATTTCTTGTCCAGTACCAGTATTAGAAAGAAAAGAAAAAGAGTTATGTATAGTTGTGTTTGTTGTTATTGCTGTAAGTTCTTCTACATTGAAGAATATAGCCCGATGATTATCGAAACATCTGAATAAGGAAGTTTTTCGTAAACAATATAAGAAGAGAACAAAATATGTTTCAAAATTATAGGTTGAATTTTTCATTCGAAATTCTATTATTTGATTTTCCAGTAAATATATCTCAAAATGGGTCGAAAACTCAGTAAAAAGAACGGTCATAACTTAGCCTCTGAGGACGAACCATTTTAGATTCTAATTAATTATTTACTTTGCAGACTATATTTATGTTTATGTTTTTTTGTTTATATAGAAAAATAAAAAAAAACATGTTTGCCATTCGAAATAAATCCATTATGAAATCATTCATTCGTTTTCATCACATATATATTGATCATTATGATATATCTTCGACAGGAATATCCTTAAATGAATTTCGTCAACGACGTCATTCTCTTGTTAATCTTATTCGACATTATATGAAAACTGAACAAAAACAATCATCGAAAAATTTTACCATTTGTCTTCCAGCATCATCACGTCTATATATGGGTCCTGATGTTGCTTATTTTCCATTTAAACAACAATCAGATTTTTATTATTTAACTGGTTGTATGCAACCAGATGCTATATTATTAATTAATGGTAATGATCAAACATTTTCTACTAATTTATTTTTATCTCGATGTACAATGCATTCAACTGATGAATATGAACGATGGTTTGGACCAACAATAACTGATGGAGAAAAAATTTGTCAAATATTTGGTATTGATAAAGTTTATCCAATTGATCAATTAATAACATTAAAACTTCCATCATCATCTATTCTATTTTATAATTCACAATTTATTAATGATAAAACTATAAATAAAAAAAATGTAGTACCATTTCTAAAAAGATTTTCATCATCAATTGTTTGTAATCAATTAACTAGTTTTCTTCATTCATTACGATCAATAAAATCATTTGCTGAACAAAATCTTATACGTCGAGTATGTCAATTAACATCAATAGCATTTATCAATACAATGAAAAATTGTAAAAAAGATATTGAAAATGAATATTTAGTTAAAGCTCAATTTCAATATGAATGTGAAAAACTTGGCGATCTTTCAATGGCATTTTATCCTGTTGTTGCTGCTAATGGAAGGTAAATTTTAAATATTAGTTTTATCTTATATCAATTATTTATCTAGAGCAAATACTATTCATTATCAAAAAAATAATCAATCAATAAATAAAGATGGTTTAATTATGTTAGATGGAGGTTGTCTATTTAAACAATATAGTAGTGATATGACACGTCTATGGCCTATAAATGGTAATAAAAATTTTAATGAATGATTTAAGAATTTTTTTGTCCAAGGTCGATTTTCATCTGCACAACGACAACTTTATGAAATATTATTAACTGTACACAAAGATTTAATTCAATATATAGATTCTGCTGATACAATAATATCAAGAGAAAAATTGAATGCGTTAGCTGATCAATATATGATAAAATATTTACGTGAAGAAAATATTCTTTCACGAACAATCGATGAGAATTACGCTAAAAATATTATTCATATCTTATGTCCAACAGGGACTAGTCATCATCTTGGTACATATCAAGTTTTTATTTAGATTAATTCTAATTTTTTTCTTTGAATTTTTAGGTCTTGATGTACATGATTGTGAATTATCTACAGCTAAACAACAGCTTCGACCTGGTAATGTTATAACTATCGAACCTGGTAGGTGATCAAAATAAATTTTGTTTTTGTGTTTAAATGTACTGTACAGGTCAAAAATATAAGACCAACGTATTGTTAATTATTTTTTTTCTACGATATCAAGCATTGAACTTAAACTTAAATAGTGCTTTGAATAATGAATAAAGTTCTCTATCCAATGCATTTGCATAACGAAGATTCTTAAAAAAAAAATCAAATAACGTAATTTTCAAGTCTCAGAGGATTCAGTGAAAATTAGTTTTTAAGTGTATCATCTTTAAAACCACGAAATCCTTATTAAAATGAGTTGCTGTTTTATCTAGATGTTCTTTTTCGAAAGGGTGATTTAAAACCTCAGCATTTTCAAGGAGTCTTCAGGAATCTGAAAACTTTCTCCCATCATTCATCCATGAAATTTTGTTATGGAATGCATTGGATAGAGCATGTTAAAAGGCTATTTAAACTACTGCTTGAATTTGAATTGAATGCCTGATATTGTAGGAAAAAACAAGAAAAATACGTTAGTCTTATATTTTGTGATCAGGATGCTATATTTATTTATCATTTCTTTAGGTCTTTATATTCCTTTGACTTGTAAAGATGTTCCATCGATATATCGTGGTTTTGCAGCACGATTAGAAGATGATATTTTGTTAACGGAACAAGGTTGCGAAGTTTTGTCGAATATGTGTCCGAAAGAAATTGACGATTTATATCAAATACTTGATGATAGAGATAAATCCGATATGCAGTGAATTTGTTTTCTTTTTTCTATTAATAAAATTCGAGTAAACAATTGGCAAAATCTATATTTATGTAGTAGTAGTAGTAGAAAATAAAACTTTCATTATTAGAAATTTATATGAGGCAAACGAAAGTAAACGAGCTGTTATAAGATAGACATAAATACAGGAGGTATAGCAGTAGAAAATAGATAAGAAAAGAAAGAGACAACTGCTGTAAATAATATTTTATTAAATATTTATTTCAAACAGAAAATAAAAAGAGGGAAGATTCGAGGGTGTGAGCGTGTGGATGTGGGTGTGTGAGGTGGGTGTGGGTGTGTGAGGTGGGTGTGGGTGTGTGAGGTGGGTGTGGGTGTGTGTGAGTGTGGGGTGTGTGTGGGGTGTGGGTGTGGGTGGGTGTGTATGTCGGTGTGTGTGGATGCGAGTGGGCGTGGGTGTAGGTGTCGGTTGGTGGATATCATCGGTTAGACAACGCACCGCACCCACACCCCACACCCGACAATGCGCACACGCACATCTAATATAAGTTAAAATGTATTTCAGACGTAATAGCAATTAATATTACCAAAATTTTACAAGACTATAAGTTCTTGAGCTTTAAAAAGGAATGCTTATATTCAAATTCGATCGAATTTGAAATAAAATGTTGATGGAACATGCTAGAAATAATCAGCCCTCTGATTCACGCTTTCTATAGTCAAAGAAAAGAACTCTTCAAATTGTGTAGTACACAAGAGTTTTTCTATTTTCCATTTTATTCGCAGATTGTCACCTATCATTTATATTTTTATCAATAGAATGAGGCTGTCAGTTTTTTAGTGATTGATTGATGAACATTTTAGGTGGTGCTCTTGTCATGCATAACTCAACATCTTCAAGATTCTTAATGACGCTATTTGATTATTTTAGACCCTCAAGCCAAAAGGTTCAGCCTATATCTACGATGATATTGGTAGCATATTTTTTACAATGAACAAATTGGATCTAGCATTGGAAAACTACAAGAAAGCTTTAGATATTTGAAAGAAATTACTACCATGGTATCATGCATTAATTGTTAAATCTTATTCGAATATTACAGATATATATGAAGCAATAGAAAAACATGATTTAATGATCAAATATTCAAATTTAAAGCTTGAAATTTTTAAGAAAACCTTACCACCAGATCATTTTGATATACAAAATCTTGAAGAACGAATTCAATTCGTAAAAGACATATTAGAACCATCAGTCAAAAGTCTACGAGAACTTGGAAATGAAACTTTCTATAATTCAAATTTTGATCAAGCTTTAATCTATTATCAGCAAGCTCTAGATGAAGAATTAAAATCATCCAATATTGATTATTCTAATGTGTTTGACATTCATTTTGAGATTGCTCAAGTTCACGCCAAAAAAGATGGTAATCATACTTCCGAAGTTAATTATCTTCAAAAATTGATTGGAACTCAATATTCTGATGATACGCTTCACAGTGCAGTAATTTATTCAAAAATTGCTGAGGTTTATGGTTGAAAATTAAAGAATAGTGAAGAAGAGCTTAAAAACTATGAAAAATGTTTGGAAATACGAACAAAGCTCTTACTAATTGATGATCGATTAATAGAGTATGCTGAATCCGATATTGAATCAGTTTACTTAACAAAGATAGATTATGAAAAAATGATAGACTTTAGAAGAAAACGTTTAGAAATGGAATTGAATAAACAACGAAATGGAAATTTGAATTATATAGTTCATATGTATAAATTAATCGCTTTTAAATATCAAGTATATACGAAAAAATATGATTTAGCATTGAAAAATTATCGATGTGCACTTGATTTTCAAAAACAGATATTAGAAAAAAATATTCAGTCGATATTGTTGTCACTATAAGCGAAATTGAACGATCAGTTAAAACTATGGAAGAGTGGCTAGCTGAAAAAGAATAATATAATTGAACAAAAATGTAATATTCCTTATTACCGCAATTATTGAAACTTTCTATTTAACAATTATTTAAAACCTTGAATTTTTTCCAATGAAACTAACAAAATTTCTTTCATGCTATGCATAAAAACTCATGTTAATAGTTCATTATCGTTTACAATTTATACCACCTTTTTTTTAAAATGGAACAAATGTCCATTTCAAATTTGTCAGGATGGATGTGGCTGTATATCTTTGTCTTCTGTTCGTTCATATCTACATCCACATCCACCCTCTATTTAAAATAGGTAACAAAAATTTATTCTTTTTTCTTTGCTATGTTGTTCTTTGACTTTGTACGAAGTTTTCGAAAAGAAGTTGAGGTATAATTGGTATATATCACAATAAAAGTTACAAGACTCATAGAAACACTTTCTTGTTGGCTAATACCTGGTTTTTTTTAAAGTTGATTTGAGTTTTATTCTAGCATACTAAAGTTTACAATATTTTTCTTCTATCATTTTTCCTCACGTTTGCATCTTGTTTTAGACAGTTAAAAAGGGTATGAGCTAGATTCTGTTGATAAGAAGATCCACATCGACACCATAGTCGAGTGCTGAATAAAATTTTTAATTAGTTTGTTTAGTTTCAAAATAATCTTGACATAAAAAATCAATTATAAAAATGAATATATATATATATATTGTTTTTATAACTTTTCAGCCTTGCTCTGATCTCTAACAACAAGAAATATTCCTCATAAATAAACTAATGTCAGAAACTATCAAATAGTGAATGAGGAGCTTTTCTGAAAAGACGGACATAAGTAAAAATTTCTGAAACTTAGACAAATATCACAAACAAACTTTTCAGTAAATTCTCTAATTGTTCATGTTTGAAAAACAATTTTCACCGAATTTCACTAATCCTTACTTAACTAACACGAATTTTCTCGTTAGTTTTTAGTATTACAAACATCAACGAACAAAATTCCTAGGCAACTATTAGCAGAAGAAAAATCATACAATCGACAACTATAAGACTTTTCAAAAAATTCTGTATATTCCTGGTGACGTTTCGTAGTTTCTAAAGATTCTCACGATTTTTCATGGGCAGGATTTTCCATTCTGAGAGATTTACATGTATGGTATATCTTGGACGTAGAGAAGTTGTAAAAATTTCCATGATTGCCTAGGACTCACAGAAAGTTTTGTTTAAATACTGAAATTTCTAATATTATAAGGTCTTGTATTTTTCTTCACATTACTATAGATCTATATGTTTAGGGAATTAATGCGTATAAATTCATGTAGATGGTAATCAGAGCTGCCGCGAGATGTTAAAGATTGGGGAGAGTCAAAAAATTTTTCGAAAACTTCTATAAATTATTGAAATTTTGAAAAAAGAAGATTACAGATTTATTGAAAGTTTTTAGAGATCTTTGAAAATATTTGAAGATTTTTGGAAATTCTTGAAGGATTTTCAAAGATTTTTGAAGAATTTTTGATAATTTTTAAACGGTTTTTTAAAATTTTCCGAAATATCTTCTTAAATTTTTTGAAACTTTTTGAAATACGTTGAGTAAAAAACACAAAATTTCTAAAGATTGGGGGGAGGGGCCGGGTCACTCCCCGTCCTCCCGCTCGTGGTAGATGGGATGGTAATTCGTCTTAGTAGTTTCTGAAATTTCTCAGCGATTTGTATAGTGTCATATGGTACAAACGATCGATTGAAATAGCTTCATGAAAACTCAAATATTTTAACAATTTTTATAAATATTCTTGTAATTACGAAAGGACTTTTCAATTAATTATTTAAATTGGCATGACGTCAGTTTTCTCCCTTTTGCCATTGTACAATGAACAATACTCATGTTCGAGTTCTTTTTCAAACAAAAGTATGCGTTCACACAGAAGAACCGACTAGTTGGTAATGGAACAAAAGTCCTTCCATAAGAAGAACATATCTTTACGAACTTGCTGTTAATGATAAATCGTGTGAGCTCGAGAATTATTTAGAAAAAATTATATGGTAATGATGTAGTTATACGGATGTGTTGTGGGTGTGAATGTGAATGGGGTGTTGGCATGAGTGTACGGTGTAGGTGTTGATAGTGATGTGGAGGTGTGAGATGCATGTGTGAGTGTTGGTTTAAAGCAGATAGGTTCCGTCATCTACACTCACAACCAGCCATTTTCTGTCACTGAGTTGCTTTTCGTAGCGTTGTCCATCGTATGCATAAGTGTATCCTACGTTTCTTCTTCCACTTGTTATTTTTTCTTTAAGGAAGAACAATCATTTCACATTGAATTAGTTTGTGAGGTGGTTCAAACAAATTAGCCCCTTCCCCCCTCCTCCCCGACGAGAAGTCCAACCTTCTGTTGGTATGCGTACAGGCGTGTTGATGGGAGCATTCTAAATATATATCTATGTATCTGTGAGTGAAGGATGCATTCTCGTCATCGTTTCTCTACTGAGATGTTGATGATCATGAATATACTAGTCATACATACATATGTGTGCGTATGCTTACCATTGCCGGCTATGCCCACGACACAACCCAACATAATAGGGAGAATGCTCTGATCGTACGTGTGCGGGCGATCTTTGTACTACAAGTAAGCATCTGGCGAGCCAAATAAGATAAAATAGAAAGGGCAAATTTACTGTCAAATAAAATAGAAATTACAACTTCTCTTTTACAGTGTCAATGCTTTTTTTCACCCGTGCAATATACGGATGATTTGAAGGCAGCGATTTTTGCCAAATTTTTTGGGCTTTTTCGTAGTATGAGAGTGCTTTCGAGTACTTGCGCATGTCGTAATACAGATTACCGATGTTGTGGTACGAAGTAGCGAACTCAGGATGATTCGGAAAGAGAGCTATCTCACTAATCTCTAGATCCTTCTCATAACATGAAATTGCTTTTGAGTATGCACCGATGTTTCTATACACTGAACCGATATTGTTGTAGGAAGCAGCGAGGTCGGGATGATTCGGAGCGAGAGCTATTTTTCGGATTTTAAGTGATCGTTCGTGCCATAACAGTGCTTTCGAGTAATCGTTCATGTTTTTATACGCATTACCAATGTTGTTATATGAAGTAGCGAGCCCGGGATGATTTGCAGGAAGAGCTATTTTTTTAATTTCAAGTGATCGTTCGTACGACGAAAGTGCTTTCGAATACTCTTCCATGTTATCATAAACTAAACCCATGTTGTCGTAGGAAGCAGCCAAGTCGAGATGATTCGGTGGGAGAACTATTTTACGAATTTCTAGTGATCGTTCGTACAACGAAAGTGCTTTCGAGTACTCGCCCATGTTAGAAGACCCCGAGCCGATGTTGTTGTAGGAAGCAGCCAAGCCAGGATCATTCGGTCGAAGAGCTATTTTACGGATTTCTAATGATCGTTCGTACAATGAAAGTGCCATTGAGTATTGGCCCATGTTTTCATACACCGCACCGATGTTGTTGTAGGAAGTAGCCAAGTCTGGATGATTCGGAGGGAGTGCTATTTTTTGGATTTCAAATGACCGTTCGTACAATGAAAGTGCTTTCGAATACTCTCCCATGTTATAATACATATTACCAGTGTTGTTGTAGGAATAAGCCAATTCAGGATGATTAGGAGGGAGAGCTGTTTTCAAGGTTTCAAGTGATCGTTTGTACGATGAAAGTGCTTTCGGGTATTCGCCCGCGGTTGCATACGCCGCACCGATCTTGTTGTAGGAAGCAGCCAAGCTGAGATCATTCGGACAGAGAGGTGTTTTTAGAATTTCAAGTGATCGTTTGTGGGATGGAAGTGCTTTCGAGTAATCATCCGTGTTATTTGACCGAAGGATTTTTTCGTAGATCTCCAGAGACTTGATAAAACTCTCTGGCCTCATTGTATTGTCCTATACTTCTTTTCATCATTCCAAGGCATTGATAACAATATGCTCTATCATTTTCATTAGAAGCCTGTTTGAGCAACATTGTGTACATCTGTTCCGCTTTGTCATTTTCACCCAGTTTCCATAACAATGAACCCATCTGTTGCCATCCTATTCCAGTGATCTCGTCTCGCATTCGTTGAGTAAGAGCATTTAGCTGTTTGTCATCACTGTTACGAATGAGTGTAAGATTCACTTGCCATATCGTATGTCCGTGATCCTGTATTTCCTCGATTTTTAGGACGCGAAAAACTGTATGCGTTGAAAACAGAACCTCTTTGTCATTCGGAAAGTAACTAATATCGCCAATGTGAGCAAACGGAGTCGTTGATGAAATCGTTCGATCTATTGTTATGACGAAGAGGACACTGATTCTACCCTTGCCGTCTGTGGTCGAAGAAATAAAACTAATGACGACATCACGATTCTCACTTGTAGATAGAAAATTATTAAAGGATACGAGTCCACCTTGTTTTATATTCTTGTCAAAATCTGACTTGCTCATAGTCTGACATTGAAAGACGGTAATTGTAGTAGTAGTAGTAGATTTATTGATTATTTTCGATTGTTCTTCATAAAGTTTCTCGATGTTTTGATGAACATCACGAATAAAAAAGCCCATTTTGAGTAGAGTGTGCACTTCTAGAGAGCGTAGAGCTTTGTTGATTAATTGGTATACGAAACATTGTCGACTGTACCACAAAATGGCTTTGTTCTTGTCGACATTTCTTTGATAGTCGGCAGCGAATTCATCGATAATTTCTAATTGTTGTTTGTTGTCAACATACTCATTTTCCTTACGCGCATACTCGACGAGATGCTTAATTTCTTTCTGTTCGTCGAAATCGATTTCAAGAATAATTTCTTTGAAGAGCTGTGTATACATAAATGATGGTTCGATTTGGTTCGATGACGATTCACCAGTAATTCTAATATCATCTTGGTCACATTGTCGAGCAGATTGTCGAACCACATTGCAAACTGAGGTAACTTTGGTGAAAACACCTTTTACTGTGGGCCAGTCTTTTGCCCATTCTTCATATTTTTCTTGTTTTCGACAAAAGACATAAATTGAATATAGTTGTGTCATGTCATGAAGATATGGCACAACGGTTTGACATAAAGCACTGGAAATAATAAGAAACACTTTTTTGTTTTGAACTTGTGATATGTAACCAATGCACTCATTTGTTTCATGAAATATTTCAATGATATTGATAGTTGATCGTAGCTGTTTGATAGAATTGAGATAATCGTCGCTGGATTCATCGATGTTTTCGTCAAGCCAAATCAAAAGAAAATTCTGAATAATTTCATTTGTATCGATTTGTCGATCCGCTTTTGGAATATGATTTGAGTCCGATTGCTGACTCAAAGTGGAGGGCAACGATGATGGTATTACTGTAGGATGGAGATTATTGCTCAGGGAATTTGATACTGTAGATGTACCACAACCCATATTGATTGATTAATTGATTATACGTAACGTGAACAAATTATATGTGAGATGCATCGTCAATATGAAATTACAAATGAATGAATGCCATTCTACAACAAAGTTTCTTAATTTAAACAAAAATTTTCTTTGATGACGATTTTTATTCTTAATAATCAAAATATGTTTCTTGTTGATACTCAATCAGGTAACCTGGCTCCAAAAGAAAGACGGTAGATGTGAGTATGGATATGAGTTTTGATTTCACCCGTACTTACGCTTAGATCATACAATTCATTATAATGACATAGTGGAGGAATCTGCTAGCATGAAACTTTTGAAAAAAAATTCATGATTTTTTTACAGGCGATGACAGTAAAACATCGTAGTAACAATGTTTTTATGAAGAAATACAATTTGAATAAAGTGCTTCGTTCTAAAAAAAAACAGAAGCAGTATTATTGAATTTCAAGCAAAGTTCTGCTAAATGAACACTGTGTATTGTCTGTATGGTAGGTGGGCGTGAATATTGCCTTCTCTTCAACCACACTCATAGTGTAAGTAATAAAGAAATAGTCATGGTCGAATGGCAATAAATTAGAACGAATAAATGAATATTTGTCGGAGGCAGGAGATATGAAGAAACTCGTTCGTCTCCTTTGATAGAGTTTGTTTCTTTTTGATTGCTGAAACATTTTTAGTAAGCTGTTATACAACTGTGTTATTTACTACTGAAGGATTTCTTATCTTTCATTTCAAGAGTGCAGAAGATGTGAGTCTATATCAAAGATCAACAGCAAAACGAACGCGTTATTATCGAAAGAAAGAGAAGAATAAAAAAATTATAATCAAATGAATTTTGTTCTTATTATTATCAAGCTTTTTTTCAACATAGTAGTGGGTTAATGAAGGAACAACAATGTAGATGAAAAGTTCTATCTCCTCTTATCATTAATTGACTGGCGGTTTTGCTGATGGATATCACGCTATTAAAATTAATCTGGTGAAAAATATCAAATTGGAGAACGTTAATGACGTGTGTTGGATGAGATGGACGATAAGCGAAGGTAAACAATATACATTTAGATTGTCATTCACATCCACATATTCTCTCTGAGTATTGTACCATAGGATATTATAAAATATATTGGCTTGTTTGAAACAATTTTTAACAAAACCGTAGCCTTTTTTCCTTGTTTTTCTTTCGAAAACAATTTAATAGATATCTATCAATCGTTTACCACATGATCAACGGAGATTCTTGAACACAAATGTAATGTATGTATAAATATATGTTAACAAATATGTAGATATGAAAAGTTCAGAAAAATTTTATTCGCTGATTATAAATAAATGAATATTGAAGAAAAGCTAATTAACAGTTGGAAAAAATTTATTTAATAATTCTATGCAACCATGAAATGGATTTTAGACGCAGCTAGACGCGCCTATGTTGCAAGTCTTCGACGTTCCAACATGTTTCTATATGGAAGCATGACGAGAACGCATCAAAATGCACGAATCATTGTGTTTCATGAACACGGTCAGAGAAAATTCAGTTTCGAAGCATATTTTTAGACTAAATGCATACATATAGAATTAACTTTGTATTATGAAATGCTTTAGAACGTACTCATATCATTCTATGCCTTTGATCGCGTTTAACAGTGGAAAGAAGCTATGTCTCTTCTACTAATGCTAACTAATTGGCAGACCCGATAAAATACTTTTAAATGCATTGCTTTGTGAAATGCAGTTGAAGGTATAGTTATATAGTTTAGTTAGTGAGGACAAAATACTTTAAAAAGGAAGTTCTGTCTGTGCGAAAATGCATCCGCTAGTCTGGCATACTACATCTTCGTTGCAATGGTATTGTGATTAGAGGAAATTCTATTGTGTAATTATGTTAGATTTGGAAGGTAGTGGCTGAAAGAAAAAAGTTGACTTTTCTAATGCATTTAGATGAGCATATCAGCCTTCTCTTAACTCATTTGAATACGAATAAGAAGCCGAAGGAAATTTCTATCCATGGCTCTTTATGATACATATTTTAAACAGGATAATTTTTCAAAAATGTTTCTTTAAATTTTCAATCTATCTACAATGATCATCTTCTTTTCGTTGTTTCTGTTTGCAGCGATTCAGAATCATACAAACTGATCTAAGTTTACAACAAAGATCAGATTAGTAGATACTATAGGAAAACCTATCTATTTTTATTGAAATTAAAATAGACCAATGATATCCTTTTTATCGTTCATGTAAGCATGCTTAAAATCCTGAAGTGTCCCTAAATGTCTACGAACTATGCAACTTGACGCGTTTGAACGCATCCAAAATGCAACATTTTAAGTCTTCTGAATGCAATCAAAAACCAAAACGTGTGTAAACTAGTTCCTATTGAAAACGCATTTACTTTATTTTGAAAAAATGTGAAAATAATCATGACTTTATGTCGGAACCAGACCGGCGTTTAACATTCCGATAGCATCATTATCATTAAAATATAATTAAATTGGATTGAATTTAACAGATTAATCATATAAATCTGTACGTCTATGATAACAGATTGTCATCTGCACACCTTATATTGAAAATATTTAATTTTGATCGAATGCTTGTCTCCTACTACATTAATTCTAAAATACTTGAGAATAAGCAGACGGTCGATAATAGTAAATTTATTGCCTACTTCATCATTTATTTCCTAGACAAGCAAATAAATCTTTTGAGTATGAAACTTTTATTTCCAATTATTTCATTTTATCGGAATGTCACAAGTGCTTTTTCAAATAGATTCATTGGCATACTTTTATTGTGCTCTATAATAAAATGATTTGAAATGAAACTTTTAGATCCATGTAATAAAAATAAATACATTACGGAACTTTATTACTCACAAACAGAAGGATACGCCACTTTTTTAAATTTATGCTTTTAAGAAAAATATAAATGAGGTTGCCGGTGGGTGTGGGTCGAAGTCTTCTATTCAAACCCACACCCACACCCAAAATGTGTTTTTTCCAATAATTTTTCGTAGCTTCGTTGTTGACCTTTTGTGAGCGTAAATATGGCAGTTTTTTTCATTACCGCTGAGAAAACTGAAATTCGAGAAAGGTACAATGAGATGAGGGCACCGCCAAGTACCTATTTAGAGAATTGTTTTTAAAAAGTAGGTATATTACTATTTGCAATGACCTTTTTGAAGTATGATACGATATTGATAATCTGACATTTGTAATACAAAAAATAGCACAAAAAAAGAATATGTTAGATGCAAAAAAATCTAGTGGTTGACAAGTAGATGTGAGAAAGAAAAACCAAGAAAAGGTGTGTATTGACTGTACAATAATAAATGAATGAAAATTCGAACAGTTGAAAAACAAACGAGCAGTAGCAGTAGTCTAATCAAATCAAACTCACTTATTCTGTCTCTTTATTAATCAATTTATTGTCCTCCTCATCATCATCATCGGACGATGAATATTCAATATTCGAATCTTTATCATTCCAAATTGAAAGGTCTACATCATCTTCATCTGATGAGTTTGAGATAGTTGTTGAACTTTCACTATCATCCGCATCAGCATAACAATTAAGATAATTTTCATATGGTCGGATATTGTTATCAGCTTCATTGTGTTCGACTTGTTCATTCAGATTTATCATATTATTCATTGCATTCAAATTTGTAAGTGTTGCAAGTCTATAATGGTCACTTTTCAATATTTTAAAATCGTCAAGATTTGTACATTCTAAACAATAATCAAAAAAATTAAATTAACTACCTTACATAATCCAAGAAGAAACGTTTAATTTCCTATATTACTCGAAAATTCTCAGGCTATTTTCTTCAGAGAAGATGCTAAAATGATGATAGTACTAGGATTTAACTTCAACATCTAGAAAGAGTTTATTGAACTACATAGAATTTACGTTCATAGAAGTAGAATCTGCATTTTCCACTTAGAACTTGACTCGAAAAAATCTTTCGACTAATAGAATAAATCTTTAAGAAAGGAGTCTTACGTTGAATAAATTCATTTGTATATCGCGAAGGACATTGATGATTAATTAAATAAAGACCATTCATTTTATTTTGATAATAACCTAAATTTACATCATCAGATACAACCAAAGCATCAATCTAAAGTAAAAAAAAAGTAAATCAAAAGTAAATCTGAACAACAATTAGGCAAATTTTCTTAAAAGATACTTTTGAGTATGAGGACGAAAATACAAAATTTACATTTTCCACAGTCTTGCAAAATTTTTCTGTAGTCATTATTGTAGGAACGCTTAATGCTAAAATATATTAGCGCGCACGAGAAAACCAGCTTATTTACGACGAAATATTCTAGATTATCTCTGGCTCTGCAGCAACACTTGGTGGAGAATGAGAATTTTAAAAAAATTAAAAACTTTATTAAAAAGAATCAGACCGAAACCAAGAAGCGGGCAGTGTACATTGATTCGGTTGTGCCGCATTTCTACGCTCCCTTCTTTCAGAAGAATCTCTTAAGGGACACCCTCAGAAAGAGTTGTTTTCATTAAAACAAAAAGTAATTTTTCTTTCTTATACGTCAGATAGTAGACAAATGTCTTGCAGATTATACATCACTCATTACTGAATGATTAATCTTCGAAGGCGTTTGAGGAAGCTTCCTAAAAGCTCTAGAAACCATACATATTTTACATTGAAACGTTTTGACTCCAAATCTCTTCTAATTTTCTCTTTATCAACATAAATTTGCTGTATAGAAAAGAGACGTATTGTTCTAAACGAGCTAAGATACACTAAAACGCACATGCCTTTTTAGTTTGTTTCGATTTTGTCGCTACTCTCGTTTAGTCAGGAGCAGGTTTCTTTGAAACTATGCAGTGCAAAATATAATTTTATTCTAAACGAAAGTCAACACTAAAATGCACAAAATGACTAGAACCGATTTTTGATTTTTAGTTTTGTTAGAGAAAACAATATAGTTGGTTAAACAGTAAACAAAGACTTTTCGAAATTTCCACTTAAAATGTCTATCAAAAGTGAACGGAGGGCAAATCCAGAAATTGGCTTCGGTTGTTTTGTAAAGTTTAAATGTCTTGTTTAAAAAAAAACTAAATTCTGGAGATGTTGTTTTTTAAAAAAATACTGTGACGATTCATGCAATTTAATGAACCTGAATTTCCCAAAAGATGAAACAGGACTGGTAAAAAAATTCACAAAATAACAAACAAATAAAGATCTTCAATTCCTAAATGTTTCAGTGGATTGGGCTGTGTCCGGCAGAAGTCAGTTTTTGAGAGAATTTCCCCTTAAAAAAGGGAGATTATTTTATTAGCACATATCCCATGACAAACCTTTCATTTCAAGCTACAAAAACATTACCGATCACGTAAAATATTCGTAGAAATATCTGGTTTTTCAGTAGATAATTTTCGATATTGATCTTGATAACTGTCTCAAACGGTACTGCAACACTACCTGAGTGTATTCCTATGTCTGAAAACTTCGAAAACTAAAACATGCCAACTTTTACAAGTTTTCAGACGACTATAGCAAAATTTGAGCTCTTGTAGTAACAAGCTTCTAGCACAAACCCGGAAACATCCTACATATAAGGACTATTTTAATTTTTGACAAATTCTTCAACAAAGTTCCTTTTCTTGATATATTTCAATAAAGTATACCTAAAGATCATTTCAAAACTCTTCATGAATTATTAAACACTTCGCTTTACTAACAACTTATGGAAGTAGCAATTTAAGAAAAAACAACTCAAAAACTCAAAAATATTCAATTCTAAGATAAAATAAAGTTTTCTAGACCAATTGTCGAGAGGAGAATGAAAATTTTTAGAGCTAAGAAGAGCGAAAAAGAGGACAACTACAAAGCCAGATTTGAATTAAAAAAAAAACAGTTTTACTTACTGTAAACGATGCTTTTTTATCTTTGGTTGACACCATTGAGACTACACGCCCGCCAAAAATTATTTGTTCAAGTTGATGACCAGCATCACCTTTCTTTTTTTTTTGTTTTTCGTATGTTCCAATTCTTTGTGGAGTAATGAAAATTTCTTTTGCAGGTTTCTTCGACTGTAATTTAACTTTTTTTTTTTTTGACCTAGAAAAAAGAATATTTCAAAAATTTTGTTTACTCATCAAGAAACATTGTTATTATTGCACTTACACATGTTTTTTTGTTTTTTTTTAAAACTCAATAGATTCATAATAAGTGGAGCAAACATATGCCCGATTTCGTGAATAAATTTGACAAATGCAAGAAAATAATGATGATCTTTTTGATCTGTTGGTGATGTTTCACATGCAGTTAACCACTATGAAGTAGATTAATAACCTTTTCAATGTTATATACAAAGTATATAAATAAATGAACTTTTTACTTGATTATTGACAAAAATTAATTGTTCGTGTTCTTGTGTTAAATCGCCAGTAGATGAAGGATCTGATTCCATAAAATGTTTTTGATTGCGTGTTGCTGTTCGAATTTTAATTGATAATTTTTGTATGACTGTTTGTATGAATATCTTCTTATCGTCATTAGTTAATTGTTTTGCTTGTTGTTGTTGTTTTTTCGGTAGACAATCATAAAATGCATCAATCAATAAACTAATTGCAGGAACGTACAAGTATTCATTTGAGAAAAAAATTTCAAATTTTTGTAGGCCATATGTAATTAGACTATATTGATCTCCTGGTAATCTTCTCAATTTCAACTGACATGATGATGAAGCTTGATTTTGTAATGTAGTTGCTGCTAGATGACACAGTAAATAATAATGAAACAATTGTTTTTGTAAAGGAGAACACTTTACAAACGATTTTTAAACGCATGAAAAATCTCTTTACGAGCTCAAACTATCCATTCTCCTTCGGAACAAAATGAATTTACTTGTAGTAATTTTAAATGTAAACAACAAAAGTATGTTTTCCTTTCATAAAAATCACTGAGAAAGTTTCTTTTCTACATAAAAGAAAGAATTCAAGACATTCTTGTCTCTGTTTTGAACTGAATAAAAAGAAACTCCAGAGAATAGAAAATAAATCTCACAACGGGCAGCAATTTATTTGTCTTCTCGGTTGAAATTTCTACTAACCTTTAGACTCCATAGATAATCAGAGTCAATCCGTAAGAAAGACCAAAGAAAACAATTACAGATGATGATCTAAAAAGATCGAAACGGTTTTGGTATAAAATAGAAAGAAAAAATATTATTCAACAAATCTGTAGAATCTGTACGTAGATTACAGTAGGATCACAGGCAAAAAGTGGAACGTTGGGGAAATTTTGGAATAGACGAGAAAACAAAAATACACAGCTAAAACAGATACAATGAAAAAAAGTTGAAGAAAAAATTACCAGTTGACTCTTTTTAGGAATTACTGATTCAAAAAGCAAAAGAAGTTATATAAAACAAACCAGTTTGTAACATTTTGTAGATACAATTGGGGAAACTTTTATCTTGCTTTTAGAGAACCTATGAACCCTTTTCCACATCTGATTGTTGAGCAAAGCATACATACATATCTCTCTCGCTCTCTCAATAGTTGAGAGAGCATATGCGTCGTATCTAAGATACAACAACAATGAACTTTCTAACATTTCATTTCCAGATAGCACAAAAAGATTCTCAAAATGTTTTCAGGAAAGAAACAGTCAGGATGCCATTGTCTTCTAACTCATTCAGAAAGTGAAAAATAAATTTCCCGGAGTTGGTTACAAAAAGATTAAAACTCTGAATTCACATGGCGCGCAAAATAGTGTACTTGTTATTTGGATTTTATATTTTAAAAATATTTCACCAATAAACTAAGCCGATAAATAGTATATCACTAAGATAGTAGCGAACTGTACGCCTATCCATAAAGACCGTTGCGATAACTACAATGGTACAATTATAGACACTATAGACTTAGGGAATTACTAGTTAGTTTATGACTCCTATCAATCATTTATGAAGAATAACTCTTTTAGATATCATCTGCATGAAAAAACTATTAATTATAGAAGTGATTCTACAAATAACAAACATGAATACTAATATTGTTGTACTAAATTTTATTTGACTGTGACTATGTGGGCAAATTTTAAATTTTTGGTCGGAAAATAAGTTTATTCTGAAACGCAATGAGGCAATGGCGCTCTGACTGAAACATCGGCTTTGCATATCAACAAAATACTGTCACTAGAAGAATGTGTTAATCCAAAATGAGTGTTGCTTAAACATTGGTTTTTCCCTTGCATATTTAATAGATCTAACTAACTTTCCCTTTGTTTCAGTTAAGAATTGAGCTATTCAAAGATAATTTGTTGATTTTAAAGGTATAACAAATGGAAGTTCTTCACTAAAACATTTTGAGTATAGTACACTACACTATAATATTTATTTTTTCTTTCTCTCCGCTCTTACTGTTTGTGAAATAAGAATTCATGCAATATTTTTGCAGTTCAATAGATGTCACATGATTCTGAACACGATTTTTCACGCGCAGATATTGTATATAGTAAATGATCACTGGACACACAGGTTCTCGTTGAAAGTGTGGGTGTGGGGTCTGGGTGGGTGTTCATCTACACTTCAGGAACACCCACACCCACACCCACACCCACCCTGGGATGGGTTTTTCTCATTATCATTGTATACATACTCCGTTGTGAACTATCAAAATTCACCGTGAAATATCTATCTAACATATTGAGTGACGTAAATATGAAGTGTAGTAAAAATCAATAGTATAAGTTTGTAATTTTAGGTTTTTCTTTATCAATATCAATATATCCTTTGCATCGTAATACTCATCATTAGTTGGTTAATAGTGATTGTAATAACCGCAAATATTAGCTTGCTGCTTTTGCTCGCTACTGATTCTATTTTTCTTGGTTGTGTAAAATACTATTATGTCAAAGGTGAGTATGAGAATTGAATATGCCTCAGCTAATCTCTCATAATGAATAATTGTTATTTGAAAATTTTCAGGAAGAAACTCATATAAATGGTGGCAAAAGAAGGCTAGCATTAAGTTTATAATTATAAGTATCATAGTGTTAACATGCTTTGTGATTGCTGTTGAATTAGTGCGCACTATGGTCGCAAATATTAATCTAAAAAAACTGACTGTAGTATGTATTTGTGTACCAGGGAAGCAATTTTAGATATGTCGATTTAAAATTACTTCTAATTAGCATTTCATTCTTCACTGTTACTACTTGTACAATTAAGTTCAACTATCTTGATTGAAATATAGAGAAGAGTTACACTACTTATTGCTTTACGACTTGTGATGAATATTGTTAACAGTACCTTGCAACTTATTGAAGCTTTTACACAAGAATATTTTATGGGAATATGAGAAGAACAGTTTTCTTTATGTTTTTATTTCATTTTTAGAATCTATACTTGATATACCATTGAACTGGATTTGCTTCCATTATTTCTTCTTGTTTCATATTCGTGACACTTTCTCCTTCAAATGTACCCGTACGCGCTCTTATTATTCACGCTTTTACTGATCAAAGGGCACTCTACGAAATTTGTATTAAAATGTTAGATTAATATTTGGTATAACATATTTCGTTTGATGTATTCGTTTGTTTCTTATGTAGAAAATAAAATTCGTTAGATTTGTTTCGTGTAATAGAATATTTCGGAATTATGTTTCAAAAATATATTGTGTTTGCTGGAAAGAATTTTGATATTAATGTCTACGATCAAGAATGGTTCATGAGTAAGGTTTGAAACATCTTGTAAATATTACTTCTTCTTATAATTATTCTCAAGATTTTCAATGAAATTAAATCAAGAGAAATTCTTTAGAAAAATTTTAGTTTTTTCATTGAAGAATATTTGCAACTGTAAGACAAAACTTTTTTTCTTTTTCTTTCATTGGCAGTAAATCATTTGCGTATAAAAACTGAAATTGAAAGGTATGCTAAAAGGTTAAATACTTGAAAGTATGGAAGGTACGAATTTATTTACTAGTTTAAAAGATCAAGTTGGAATCTTTACCAAATAAAATCTTACTTGAATTATTTGCTTATATTGATCATATTTAAATTCTTCGCATATTTTACGATCTGCATTCTTATTTCAACAATCTTCTCTTTATTTCTTCGAAATGATTTTATCTTAATTTTCAATCTGTTTCAAAAAAGATTTGAAGGGTAAGATGAAGGCGAGAGTAGACGAGTCTAATATAAATTAGTGAGAACGACGGAAATTATTTTTCATTTTATCTATCCACGGTTATGTTACATATAAAATTTTTATCGAATATCCACAATGACATGTTTCAAATAGCACGAATGACTATTTGAATGCAGATCATGAAACCAGAATAGAAGTCGAATCTATAAGTCTAGGTAACCGATTGGTTGTTATCGTAATTAAACTGTGCGATTTTCTCCATCATCTTATAAAAAGACGACACATCGATTCAATAACTATTTTATATGTACTTCCACGACAATGATAATCTATTATTATTTCACCTTTCTATTGCTGTGTTGATCTGAACCACTGTACAAATAATGTTGCAAGATCGCACTTTTGATTGAAATATAGAAGTTCAGTTTTTTTCAATGATACTTGGAAAAACTGAACTTCTATATTTCAGTCAAAACTGTTATCTTTCAACATTATTTTTACAGTTGGTCCATGTCGTTCTATAATTTATTATAAATGCTACCTCTGTGAAAACAAAAAATTCATTTTTTTTTACTCATTTAAGAGACTAAAGAAAAGAAAATGAAAGCAACAAAATGACGAAGAAAATAAATTTATGAATTTTCCTTCGCAAGGGAAACATCTATAATAACAGAATGATAAAAGTGACTCGGAGTAACACGGTGAGTCGTCAAGGAAAAAAGAAACTGAAAGAAATACTTGTATTTGAGTATATGTATATCCAAATTGATCGAATGATGTCTTCGAACATGGTAAAAAGAGACATAATGAAATATTTTCAATGAATTTGTTAAAATGATTATGATCTTCTTTTTTTATCTTTCAAATTCAATTTGTCACCAGTTTAAAATTTAAAACCTATTTTCATATAATCTTCTTCTATTTTAATTGTTTTCTCTCAAAATCACTTTTTCGATGCAAGCAGTCAAACATGGCAGTAAGGCATCCATTCAAATATTTATTGACCGATTACGACACTTATATGCCGAACTTTTTAATAGGATGTTTGTATTTCTCTATTGTTGAACTTTCTCCTTTATTCTTGGACGTCCATCTGTCCGTCACCTTACAATGACGCACCAATGAATTTTCTCGCCCTTATTGCTGCCTAATTCACACGTTGAGAAAAATGTGTGTCTTTCGTCATGATAAAAAGCATTTGACTCTAGTGGAAACGATCATTCATTTGAAAAGGTAGGCTAAACATTTCTGATATTACAAAAATTTGAATTGAAAAAAGGCTATATATTGTGCTCGTTCACTTTAGTGTTTGTGAACTTCCACTGAAAACAAACATTTCTGTTCTCTCGCACTTTACTCTTTCCGTCACATAGTCTGAGAAAAATATGAGATTATTTGCTACAAAATTGTGTTTTTCTTCTAAGTCGATTTCGTCCAAATGATGAGTATAAGATTTTCTCTGCATCAACACTATGAGCTTTTTTTCTATTTGATCTTATTGATCAAGAATTATATGATAAAAATTTGCTTTGATCAAAGTAAAATCCGAATTAGTGTACTATGATGATTGTTTCTAGACTAAAGTGTAATTACAACATGAATTCGGCTAAACAACAAGTATATGATAAGCAAGATCAGTTTAACATCGATTCGAAGACTTTATTACATTCGTCAATTTTTCCAGTTTGC